GGTAGATTTAATTGTAGCTTTCACAAAAAAGAGTTGGTAAACACCACAAAAGGTGACAAAAAATGACAAAGAAAGGTTGAAGGGCTACATAGTTTACAGTTGCAGAGAGTTTACACTTATTCCCTGGGTCAAACAGCCTCCTCCTGTTTTATCAAAATTTTATTCTTCAATAAGCAAATGCAAGATGCGAGAAAGGTTTTTCACTTAGCATGTAGTTAGGGGTCTGGAATACACTGGCTGGAAATGTGGTGGAGGCAGGTTCAATTGAGGCCTTTAAAGTGGGTATTGGATGGTTATCTGAAGAGCAAAAGTCTGCAGGGTTAAGGGCAAAAGGCGGGAGGTTGATGTCAAATCTAAATGCTCAGTGAGGCAGTGCAGACAGGAGGGGCTGAACGATCTGTGGCACCGACTTCACTCACACGTGTTTTCAATTTTTACCGCCTGCTAACTGGGTCTCTGTTCTGGTCATTACAAAGAGATCAAGAGTGGGGAGATGTGGGAGTTTAGGTGTTCTTTGTTTGTGTCTCTCTGCATTTTTATTCTCCTCTTCCTCCCACCCTCTCCTGTTTTCTCCCCTTTCCAAAGGTGCTACATTCTTGTTCTGGTGTAGGTTCTCATCCTTCAGACTGTCAACTTTGCTGGTGAACATCAACCAGCTGAAGGGGTGGGGTCAGGGCCATAGTGTTGCACAATCTTATGGACACTATTCCTGAAGGTTATGTCAATAATTCCCTAAACTTCAATTGCTCTGCTCAGTTAAACAGCCTGTTATTCCCCTATTTCCTTTTGTTTTGGCCAGGTTTTGTTTGTAGAGATGAGGCTCCAGGACTGTCCTGGAGAGTTGGCCACCTCAGTGAGCCGAGATGATGAAGGGGAGAGAAGGAAGCAATGAACACCTAAGCATGCTTCTCACCTGTGTCTGCGCTCCAACACTTTATGTAACTTCGGAAGGTTCAAACTAGAATCACATTATTTGATGTTGATCCCAACGTAAACGTCTACAATTTGCACAGCCCCAAATTACACATCCCCAATTCAGATCGACCCAAACGACATATCCCCAATTCAGATAGACCCAAACGACATATCCCCAATGTAGATAGACCCACATTACACATCCCCAATGTAGATAGACCAACATTGCAGAAATCAAATTACTCAACCCCAAATTGCACAATCCCTGTTAACACAATCCCTAATTGCACAGCCCCAAATTATGCAATCCCAGATTACACATTCCCAGATTACACAGTGCCTAAATACACAACCCCAAAGTTCAAATTACATCGCCCCAATTAGAATCAAATACCAGTTGTTCAAAATCATGTTAAAATTTCTCTGGTAGTATTGAAAACTGAGATCTAACTGAACTTTTTTAAAATCTCATAACTAGTCAATGTAGTGGCTCTTTCATAATCTTGAAATGGGTAATATTATTTAAAACAAGATAATTGCCCAGCCCAACCACTTGAAAACTGGAGTGAAAGAACTTGCTTTTATATAGTGCCTTTCATGATCTCAAGACAAAACACTTTCCAGCCAATGAAATGGCTCTGAAGTGTAGTTACTGTGAAAGTGTAGGAGGCAAGGCAGCTGGAGTCTGAGGCAAGCTCCCCAGGGATCGATGGTAAAGTCACAATAAACTCACTCTCTTATTAGAAAGTGATGACTAGTGGTGAGTTTAACCCGAGGGATGCCAGGTCGCGGGTGAGGTTGAGAAGCTGGGATCTTCACATTGACTTCAATCAGTGTAGGAATTGAGCAAAGGTGTTACCCTGCATTGCAAATCAGCCATCCAGCCAACTTAATCACAAAGAGTCAAGTGGTAACGATGAGATAATCTTCTTATTGATGGTTGGGCAGGATATGAGGGGCAGCTGTGTGCTTTTATTTCTTGAAATAGTGGGGTCCTTTCTGTCCACCTGAGCGAGTTGAAGTGGCTGTTGACATACCGCCGCTTGTGGAAAGCAACAGGTGGAAGGGCTTTGTAAACATTGGGTTTGAGGTGCAGAAGCAGCCAATGCTGGTGCTCAGTGTAATTCCTTCCAAATCAACATCAGTCGTTTCACCCACAGGGGGTAAGGATGTCCCTGACCACAAGCGAAGTCTGACTGAAGGAAACGGAAAATAACTAACACATATGGAGCGGCTCAGGAGAATCGAGAGATTGTCGGGCTAAAGACATGCTGAAATCAAGAGGAGAGTGGAAACCCAATTAAAGAGGCCAATGGGAAAGTGAGGGCCCTCTTGTTCTGGCAGCTTTTCGAGGATTGATGATTCTGCTAAAGTGACCAGAATTAACAACTGCTGAATAATGCTAACTATTCATAGGACGGTGCTGAGTCTGCAGGCCATTCAGGCCAACTGGTCAATGTTGGTAATTGTGCTCCATATGAGCTTCTTCCCACACAACTTCATTGTGTCCCATCAACGTGCCTTCAGTTCCGTTGCCCTTCTTTGTGCTAATCTAGCTTCTGCTTAAATGTATCGACACTATTCACCCTGTGGGAGCAAGCTCCAGATTCTCAACACTTTCTGGGCAAAGATGTTCCTCCTGAATTCCTGTTGGATTTCCTGGTGAAATTTATGATCTCCCACCTCCACCACTCCCAAGTGGAACCATCTTTCATACAGCTGTCCTGGCAAAGAGAGAAGACCCTGCCAAGTACACTCATCAGAACCTGCTCTGCCTCGATTCTTTCTGCCTCCAGGTTTGATGCTCCACCAGGGTCTGATCTTTACATCTGCAATTTCAGAGGGTGATGTTGTCATCGTATTTCAAGCTTTCCTGAATTATATCTGATGTTGTGTTGTGTTTGTCACAGCTTTGTTTCTTCTGCCCCTCCCTCTCCAGAAGCTACGGACTGCAAACTGGGAACAATCCCAAAAATTCAAGTGGAATTTTGTAACATCCCCTGCAGGCCAACATTTAGCCAGGCCACTCAAGATTATTGACTTAATGGACTGCAATTGTCATCTTGGACATACACATGCTTGTCCATCTGAAAGTGGACTTTCTGAAGGAACAGCCATCAGAAGCAGGAATTATATCTTATTTACTTCTTGTCTCCAGTTCCAAAGTCAAATGGTATCGTTCTGTCATGTTACTTTAACGTCAAGTCTGCAAAATTGACATTGCTTGGGATCATGTTGTGTGGTAACCTAATTGGCTGGGAGCCCTGCATTGTTTTTGTTTGTTTCTTCTCAATGTAAGTTTTCAATTGGGTCCTACTTCCATGACTCTATTGGCATAGAGGGACAGATTTGTGTTCAGCACCGGGGTTGGGTTTCAAAGCCAGTCAGATGCTGTCAAACCCAAAGTCAAGATTTCAGGACGAGATCTGCTCTAGATTTGGCCCTTTGCCTACCATCACCTTTTCAGTGTGGAAACCCTGGGTATATGGCAGTTCACTGGTTGCCTGACATGCGTGTTCTCCACACAAATACATACTGTCACTCAGTTTGAAAATTAAGGTAAAAAAGATGAGTGATGACTTGTTCCTGTCCACTTACTCACCCACCAGAGATACCTAGAATCAAGGCCACAGTGGATTGACCAACTATATCCACTGAACATCCTTTATAGTGTCAGCAAAACGGAGCCCTACCCTTGCATTGTCAGGCTTTGCACCAGGAACAACTGTACACCTTCCTGATGCTTAATTGGGAGCCAACAAGTGAGATACCTCTCCAACTCTTCCTCCTCATCTAAGTTGCTCCTTGAAACTGATTTCCTTTAATGCCTCCTTGTGTATCAAATTTTATCTACAATGCTGTGAAGTGCCTTGGGATGTTTCCTGCACTGAAGGCACTACATAAATCCAGGTTATCCATTGTGATAGGCCTCGGACTAGGGGTGTTAAACATTTGAGAATGTGTTGTCCCTGAGTTAGCTGTTATGTATTTGGGATTGGCTGAGTAGAGAGGAAGGATGTCATAAGCAGCACTTTCTGTTTGAAATGCTTGTGTTTGGTTTCTCACTCAAATAAAAAGTGACAGATGAAATCATGCAATTTGCTTTGAGTTAGTTTATTTTAAAGCATAGTTGAAGGGATATGTCTCAATCAGTTGGGCATGCTGAATGGATACAAGCCAAACCTGAGCTAAGGGTGTGGGAGCTGATGGAAGAGACCAGTAACACTGGCTGGTTCCACAAAATTCATCAATGTGGGTGTGGCTTTGTCTCCAACTGTCTTTTCTTTTACCTGATAGAGCAATGCTTCGACTATCTCCCACAACATAAGTGACTGAAAGTGAATATTATGGTCTTGAAGAATCCAATAAACATTTATTGCAAGTAACTATTATGTACAAACATTTCATTCCTCAGACTCAGAAGTGTTTGGTTTCAAATAAACTTGTTGGACTATAACCAGGTGTCGTGTGACTTCTGACTTTGTCCACCC